GGGATGGTTGCAGGGAATCTGAAGTCCCTCACTGTGAAACAAAGACTGCAAACACTGAAAGGTTTTTGGCCAGAGGCTTAACAGTGTGTCTTTTGTTCTTTGCTGTTTGTTCTGTCTCTAGGTGAACTGGGAGCTGAGCTAGTTGAAGGGAAATGTTCAGTCACCTTAGTAAGACTCTGGCCATGGATTCCTGGAGAGAAGTATTTAACACAACCTCCTGCAGGTGGCTTTGCAAGCATCTGCAAAGCTGGGGGTGGGCAAGAGGGCTGGTATCCAGGGACTGAATCCAAAACCAGTACAAATACAGTATTACCTCTGGCAAGAGCAGAATGCATAGAAACCTGCCATGAGAAAGGTGCCTTTGTCAAGGTGTGTGAGGCTACAGAAACAGAATCCAGGCCCTCAGCATGTGACTGACTGGCCAGGGCTGGGATTGCTGCGGACTTTACAAGATCCCATGTAGTAGTAGCTACTACTTTCATAGTAGCTGGCCACTCGTGGGGACTGTCAGCAAGCAGCTTCTGCATGTAAATGGATAAACTGTACACAGGCCATACCTCCACTATGGTATTTGCATTGCACATCCAAGCTGTGCAGGTGCTGCACTGTGGCTACACTGGTTCTCCATTCTACTGCACTCAGCTGTCCAGACCTGGTCTTCATGCATGCTGTGTAGACAATCCACATGAGATACAAGGCCTTCATTACAATGCCTCTAGGCTTCAAAATCTTTATGAGAGACATGAGTGCAAAGCTCAGCTCACACCATGTTCTTGGTGGTGAAAAATAAGAGGTTTTCATCTAGTTCTGGAATTTTCACTTTCTAGTGAAAGTCAAGGCTTGTCCCTCGGGAAGTATAATACTGTGAGGGGCTGTGAAAACTTAACAGATGCCACTCCGCCCACATCATGTCACCTTTCACTAGTTCTGGACTTTCTGGGGGGGCCTAAAGTATGTTAGTGCAATGAATTTCAACAAAGGCTGCCTTTCTGGTAACTGTTGTCTTGGAGGAAAGAGAAGATCCAGGGTCTTATGACAGCATTTGAGCATGCAGTTTTTGCAATATTTCGCTCAATCCAGCATATCCCCATTTTCAGCTGTATTGAAGTTCCACTCCCTTCCACATCTTGACTTATTTTCTTACACTTTGCCTCACCCCAGAAAAATAGACTACAAGTATATTCTATAAGGGTTTTCAGTTGAGACAGAAGAAAAGCAATTCAAGGCTATTATAATATATTTTATTATATTAAATACATTATATTAAATAGTCAGAAATATTATCATTTGGTACTATTCCCAGAAGGAGAGAAGGGGAAGCTTTAAGAGGTTATCCACTGATAACCTGATGCCAAGCTGAGGCATTTTATGGCAGAGCCTCTAGGAGCACAGGCAGAACTCCATGTGCCCTTCCAGGTTTTGCCAAAAGCCTGAATTTGTAAAGCAGGTGGGAGGACTTTTGACACCTACATACCAGACATTAGTCCTTAGCAAAGACTCTCGTGTCAGAAGCCAGTGCTGCTTCGGGAACATCTCACAATCTTTACTTGGCTATGTTATTCAAGGACAAAACATTAGACAAACATTAGATAACCACCAGGAACAGAACATTTCTGTTAACGTTTCCTCTTAATGGAGAAAAAAGTAGCAGTAACATTTTGAGAAATGACACCCACACGAAGATGACAATCCCCTTTTCTTTGCCAGTGCCACAGATTCTTGCAGCTATGGGATCCTTTACTGTAGGGGATGCCAAATGATGATTCAGTCTGTTCCATGTACTGGTATTGTTCAGGGTGGGAGCGGAAGCCCCAGCTAACACTGTCAGTGAGTTCACATGCACCCCAAGAATGGAATATGTGTGGAGAGTTTTTGAGAAACCCACAGTTGTTGCAAGAAAAGTAAAATAACTTTTTCCTGACCAAATCTGGATACAGATGTGGTCAGCCTGGTTCTGTCCTCACGTTGCCTGAAACAAAATCATTTGTCCCATGAAGTGCTGTTTAAACTCATGCTATCCCAAGTACGACAGCAAACATTCTGAAACAGAGTTATTTTCATTTCTGTGACATGCCCTTGGACTCAGCTGCTGACAGAGTCAAGGACCTGACACCAGCCTGAAGGTGGGCTTTTTCTTTTCCCTTTTTACTATTTTAGTCACCTACAAGTATCTGAGCTGCAAGCCAAAGCAGATGCAATTATCTCAGCTGTCACTGGGAGGGAAGTGGCATTGAAAATAGATAGGATTCAGACCACAGAGCACTTTAAAGATCCAATTGCAACATGCTGATATACAAATAGTGACAAATAGGAAACCACTGCAGCCTTTCAAGCATCAATGCAAAGCTTTCAGAGGGACTACCACCATTGTCAGCTATTTCATTCATACCTCTGAGTAGCATCTTACATAGAGTGTGCTGCAAAAATTCCTCAAAGCTGCATGTTCAGCTTTAATGAGAAAAGGAAATGGTAGGCAGAAATAAAGTAATTGAACTGCCACAGTTATGGCAACCCTAAGAGCAGCTGAATCAATGTGAAAAGTATATTATGGGTGACTTACAAATGGAAGAACATTACTGAGAAGGGCAAGGTTAGAAAATCATCATCAAAACTAGATGTAAAGGTGTAAGCAAAGACTCAGTCACCCTGAAAGAAACTATCTTCACAGAGTTAAGCATATACTTAATTGGACTTCTAAAGCAGCTTACACTTAAACAGTTTTCCAGTATGAGTAGTAGTTGTTCTTATCAAAGCAGATGTTCTCTGACATTTTGTGTCAGCATCCTTTGTACGCAAAGCAATCTGTCTATGGAAACCAGGTTTTTTTTACAAATCGTAGGGCTTTTGATATGTAGAACAATTAAATAAAACATACATTTTGCTACCTTTGTATATTTATAGGTGACTGGTACCCACAGCACATAATCTATAGCTAAGAGAGTGCCTGAATGGCTAACTAATTTTATATTTGCAGATAGAGTATCATTAAGTGAAATTGATTCTGCTAGAATTCTAATACCCTGCACCTAGTGTTACCGAACTGTATAAAATCTGTTAAGAATCCACAGAATTCTATCAGTACAAATACTACCATAGATAATTTTCCTTCCTTTTTTTCCCCTCTCCTTTTGAAAAGTATATAAAATCCATACATCTGATCTAAGGACCTCCAAAGACTTCATGGCAATGATGTTTTGTACATGTGTATTTCTAAGGTAGAAGGTTTATTCCATTCTACATCTCTGAATTAAGAGTACAGTCAAATGCATTTGGAAGTGCCAAAGGAAATTACTACTTGAGAAATGTTCAGATGAAAATCTTGGCTGCAGCTTGAGAGAGAACCTCATACAAGACAGCTGGGGAGGAAAGTAAGGTATCTAAAAGGTGGATACCCATAACCTACCAGTTGCATTATACTTTAGTGCTGCTGGTCAGAAAGAGGCACCTCCAGAGAGCAATTCCTCTCACTCTAAGTTAACTGGCTGAAATAGATCAAATTAACTGCCCTCTGGAGATATGCGTTGCCTTCCTTTTAGTGGGCTTTAGGCAACTATTTAGGTGGTGAGATGCACCCAAACTTCAATTTTGGTGCTGTTTTGAAAACAGAAATGAGCCATTTGAAAACAGAAATGAGCTGTTTGAAAACAGAAATGAGCCATTTAAGCCATTTTCCAAGAGGAAAATATTCACAATGAGAATAATCAGCCATTGGAATAATTTCCCTAGGGAAGCTGTGGATTCCCCAGCATTGGACACTTTCAAGATTCAGCTGGACAGCACTGGGCCATCTAGTTTAGACTGTGCTTCTGCCAAGAAAAGTTGGACCAGATGACCCTTGAGATCCCTTCCAACCTGGTATTCTGCGATTCCATGATTTAGTCCTTCACCATGTTGGAGTTGCACTCAATGCCTTTGGAGGGACCCCTAAAGTTACCGGAAATTTGCAGCAGTACCTCTTTATGACTTAGTGGAAACCCTAACAACCTGACACCCCCTCTAATGTACATCTCCATGCTACTGCTGTAGCCAAAATGATCTCTGTGCTTGAGGAAAGGTGACAGGGGCTGGAAATTCTGGCTGGAAATGACACGCTGCAATGGGAGCGGATGGCAAAGGATAACTGGTGGGAATGGTGTTGCTATAGGGCAGCCCTGGAGCAGTGCTCAAGCCTGTTTTCAGGGAGCTAACCACTAGGTTTCCTTAGCTTCTTTGGCTGCCAGAACAAAACACTCTTTTGAGTGGAAAGGCACAGGCTCAGTTTTCTAGGACACCCGCTTATTCTGCTCCTTAAATCAGTTATTCACCCTTTTCAGTCTAAACCAGTATAGACTTGTGGGAAAGGGAACAGTTAATTTTTGAAGGAGAAAGGACACAGGGCAGTAGTTTTTCACAGGCCTGATTAAAACAAAATTATATTATTTTCTTTTGATGAATTTACTTTTTTAAGCTCATAGTTATAGGCACTATACCTATTTACCTTGGTTCACTGCAGCTTTATAACATCCCGTGTGATACACTTTAAAAAAATGGACTAAATTCAGATTTCAGGTTCATTTTAAGAGCAAGTAAAATGTTTGGATTGCAAAACCTGCCTTTCTGTAGGCTGAATGCATTTCCGTGCTAGCAGCTTCCAGGAAACTCTTGGGTTACAATTACAAGAAGTTAAAACTGCAGCAGCAGAATTGTTAACTGGAAGTCAGAATTTCCTTTCCACCATTCCTCTTCTGTTTGGCCCTAACAGGCCAGCTTAAATACTTTGTTTCTTTTATTTTTCTATTACATTATTTTGGTAATTTTGTGGCTTTTTTTTCCTTTCTGATCCTAACCTCTAATTCTTTGTTCTTAGGTCTGTTTTTTTTTACCTTATACTGGATTATCTACTTAGAGCAGCATTTTCTAACAACCCTTCCCAGTTATAGGACTCTCTCCTTTAAATTTATCACGGATGTGTCCAATTCTTAAAACAGGTTAAAGACATTTTTTTTTGTGTTCTTTTCCAGGCTTCCTAGTTACATGGTCAGTAATACAAAGAAGAATGTAAGCCGGGAAGTCTGTGATAAGAACAATAAAAACAGCATTTGCTCCAAGGAGCAAAACTGAAGCAGACTTCACAAACTACAGGAAGAGAAGGAAAGAAGGTAATGTGTGTATTCAGTTGGACACAGGGATTTTCCCTAAAACAATAATTAAGACAACAAGTAACTATGTATGGAGATAACTAAAGCGTAATAGAAAACCTGAAGAAAGAAATGGAAACGTGATTTAATAAGGCTCAGCAAGCAGTGCATCTGGGGATGATACTGCAAGACAGATGGTATCCTGAACAGATCTGTGCTCTGAAAACTCAGATGACCCCATTTCTTTAGATTACCATGCAAGGAGATGACCCTGAAAAAGTGAGAAAGTACAGGGCTGGAATGCTAGCTGAGTGAGCCCCAGGGACAGAAGACAGTTTGATCCTAGCTGTCTGTTATTTGAACACAGATCTAAAAGAAGATAAGGACAAAGATCCGCTTTTCACTGCCCAACATATTATAGATGTCTTTGCAAAACAAATGCAAAGCTTATTGAAAGCAGTAGCAATTACATGTAGTTGGATTTTACTCACTGTTATTTTAGGATTGAGCAACCATGCTGAGAAATGAAAACAAAAGTTACGTCAGAAGAAATGACACATAAGGCTTTATGTTTACTTACTTATTTTTATATGTATAAAATATAAAAATAACATGTATGTTTATATGGTTGGTTGTATAGGAAATGTGAGGTTTACAGACCATTTGTCACTGCTGCAGCCACTGGAATGGGCCAGCAAATTTGTGGCCCTGTGTCTCCTTACAGCTGCTTTTTATATTTGGAGTATAAACATTGTTGGCTTCTGAAGGATTTATCAGTTTAGAGGACAGCTGTGGAGTGTTTAGGAGAGGACCTAAGGACAACATAGCTTCAAAATAAGTATGTGTTTGGCCACTCCATCTTCTGACACGTTAGATACTTCTACAGAGAAAAGACTTCCAAGAAAGTAGACACCCTTCCAGGGATCTCCTGCAAGTACTTCCTCACTCAACACCACAGGCTTTGAAGGCTTCTTTCTGTGAATTTTTCTTGTCTAACAGAAAAAAGAAGATATGTGAATGGATGAATGGATGGAATATGTACGATTAAAAAAAACATTCAAAACATTACAGGAGACACACTTTTTCCATAAGGAAAAAAAGCCACATGGAAATTCCATGAAAAGTCACATCACTTAACAAGCTCCTGGAAGGCTCTCAGATGTTAGAGTTGCTACAGCTAATACCACACAGAACAGCATAGCTGCAGCTTGCAAATAGACAAAAACCTGATCGTTTTGTTGACAACTTATTTTGTTCACACATGCAGTTAAAATTAAATGTAAGCACTGTCTGGTAGTTTTTGGAAGACAGAAGAATAACATCTAAGCGATAGAAAACCTCTGTAGCAAGCAAGACCAGTTCTGAATGTAAATTTATTTTCCATTTGTGTATTTTTTTTTTTACACAACATAAATACGTACAAAACAGTACATAAGGAAAACCTAGGAAATCATGCTTAATATGACCTTTTCCCCCTTTGTCCTTACAGAGGAAGGCTGTCAAATGCTCATGAGCTTCCCATCCATCATGTTTCATAGGAGAACAGGAGACAGTAGGCATCTTAAGCTGGTCTGTATGGATTCACACAGAGGGATCTTCCTCCAACACTGTTGTGCTTAACAGCGAAGAAAATTCCAGCTGCCCTTTTAAGATATCTGAGTTTTATCTGAGGGCACACTGGTCATATCTGAAAGTTTTAAAATAAACGTCAAAGTCTGTTGTATAGTCCAGGATCAATTACGAAGTATTTATTACTTGGAAAGATGTCTGACTTTTGCCCTTTCATTCTGTAACAGTCACAATCATTTCAGCATTCCGTTTTACAATTTTCTTATTTACAGCACATTCACAAATTCACTCTTGCAGCTGTTCCTCATGTGATTATTTCTAGTAGTTGCATTGTGGTTACCCATACGAATAAGGCTTATTGTTGTGGTATACCATCAGAGGCTACAAATATGCAAAAATTATAAAGGGACAGGAAACTTTCAAACCCTTTAAATAATTTCTTCTGGGTTTGGCCAAGCATTCTTTTGGGGTTTGCCTGGACTTTTGTTTCATTTTGTTTAAAGATTGCCCTGCAGCTATTTCAAAAAGCTTAAAAACTGCTACCACCAATTTACTTTAAATCAGTTAATCACAGGAGAGAAGGCAGTTTCAAAATCTGCCAAACCCTCAGTCAATAGAAATTAGCAATTATGCAGTTATTTTTATTAGCTGCATATTGCATAAAGATGTGAGCATCTGTACTTATTATATTATACAGATTATTTCATGACAGTATATGACATTTATTTGTAGTAGTATAACTGCTATGATTATTTTGAGTGACAGATGAACTGGTAAGGAAGAAAGCATAGTAACCAAAGTTGAGTATTTTTGAATATATATTTATTCTGGAGAAACAAGCTCCTAAATACGTGACTGCAATGGATACCGGACAAGCATGCACTATAAAAAAAACCCCTATTCTGTTTTCCTTTTCTTGTCAACAGCACATAGCAACAACTGTTTCCTAGTACCAGCAAAGATCTCTGCTGCATCAGTTACTCTGCCATGGAGGTTAGAACTATGAGCTTTTGAACTCACATACAGTGTAAACAATCACCACTTGATTGCTTTGCTGAATACAGCTTGTATCCTATTACTTATTTCCCAGCTCATGTCTTGGAACTGATTCTAAATCTAAAACAAGGAACACTTATCCAAATTCTTTGTGTATGAAGAAGTTACCTACTCAGATGAAAAATGTGAGCTATGCCAAGTTAAGGGAATGAGCAGGCAAGTCAATAATGAGGGATTTGTAGTCATAAAGACTACTTTGCATTACAGTGTCTGCAGGAGACCTTGTCAGTACTTTTCATGTGCTAGGTTATGAGCCATTCTCTCCTTGCTGCTCTTAGTTTCAAGTGGCTGGAGAGTCACAAATACAACCACTGCAAGAAATGTATTACTGGCTTGTGTAGTAAGGGATAATAATAAATGTTGTACCTGAACACTGAAGAATTGAGGTACCAGAATAATTCTGTGTTTTTAATGGGAACATCTTTGACAACATCAAGAAAGACTGATTACAGATAAGAAATCCAGGAATCAGCATATGGTCTGGCTTAGCTGGAAATCTCTATCACTACTGAGCAGAAAAATCCTCTTCTAAAGGCTACAACAACCCTTAATGCTGATAATAAAAGAAAGATGTGTCCCATGGTGTGCACTTAAGCAGCTGCTGGTGGTCATGACATGGGGCATCTCTTAAGAGTACACAGCAGTTCATCGAAAACTGTGGAAATAAACAAACATTTTAAATTGTAGAAGTTAAACTCATAATCATTTAATAATCTGAGTAAATTGGTACAAAATCTTATGCATCCATTTTTCTTTTGTTAAATGTAGCCTTCATTACCTCAGTTTAACACAAACTGGCTAAATTGAGCTTAGACAAACCTAAATAACTGAAACCACAATCAGAGCAGCCACTCTGCATCAATTTACTATCATGTTTAAAAATCACACATTCCTTGTATTCCACTGAAAATAGAAGAAAGTGATGTGGCATTCTGCTCACATTACATGACTAATTTCCTAAAAGATGTTACTAATATTCAGTGTTAGTTATAAGAATTTAACCATGAGAAGGAATATTTTCCCAGAAGCCTGATTAATTGACTGATAAACTGAAAGAAGTGTCATAATTGTCTTATGAGTCAGTGGAAAAGGCAGGAAGTGAATTATTCTGCATCCTCCCAAATTTGCATAGGAATTTATTTAAAGGGAACTACAGTTACCCTAGTTGAAGTTTAGCCAGGGCATGAGAGGTAACACCCTTTCTGCTTTTAAGACAAAAAAAAAAACAACAATAAAACAACACAAGCTATATTTATGCCATGCCTCAGTGCAGAAAAAGATTTAGTTGCTTATATTAATCCTGCAATACCTCTGCTGAACATGAGAAGTATAAATGGAAGAATGAACTTTTACAATTGCAGCTGAATGGGTAGAAAGACCACAGAGCATTTACCTGGAACTTCCTCAAGTTTCTATTGGCAAAGTTGCAATGATTAAGCCTAAAACAGTTACACTGAAACTGATGACATCATGCCTCAGAGCAGGTAGTGCATGGAGTTTTATGAACAGTGACATGCTGGAAGTTACTGAGAAACTTCCACTAAATCCTGCTACCCTTCACCACATGATATACCCAGATTTCCAGGTAAGGAATAAAATAATTTCCATTTATGAGCCAGACACACATACACATGTATGCTCCTTCTTACTAATATAATCAAAAGAAACAAGATTGAAGTAATTTATGGTGTATCCACTCAGTGGAAATACACATTTTCGTTAAATAGAAAGTTTCAGGTATTTAAATTTAAAATGAATAAAAGACACCACCTGCTAAAAAGTTATGTCACCTTAAGAGTGCATACTATGGACTTCATGGTGTATATCAGCGTGGTATAATCAAACCAATCTGTAAATGTTTGCATATTCCTGTACATAAACTTTGGCATACTGTTATATTCCACTGAGAAAATAATAAATAAATAAAAAGAACTAAAAGCTGCTATTCAGAAATATCTGTGTGCACTGTTTGCATAATATTAGGAAGGACAGATTAGCTGTGTCCGCGAAAAAGTCAGTCTTGGCCAGATGCAGAAAAAACATTCCATTATTCTTTTCAGGCATTGGGAGAATTTTAAAAGGGATCTCAAATGAACCTACTTCAGCTCATCACTGAATGGGTTACTATGTTTGAAGATGCTAAACAAGCCATCCATTAGTTGGGTTTTTAAAATTATACAGAACTAGTAGCTCCTTTTAAATTAAAATGCTGATAGAATGTTATCAAAATGTAGCGTTTTATGCCTCTGACTTTCAGAGTGCAAAAAAAGGAATGTGCCTTATCTGGATTTTAAGATCCAGTTCCAAGTTATTTATTATCTGTAAAACCTCCATACTGCCTACGTATTTAATTTAATGCTTGAGCACGTCCCCGCCTCCTCTGTTCTTTTAGCACTTATTCCAACCACATCATTTGTTACGATTTGGTGGCCATTGCTCACCTGTTCTCCACTGAACAGATTTGCAGGCCAGAGAGGTTATGATGAGCACCAAGCTTGACCTCCATAACAACATCAGCCAAGAAATTTTATAATGTGAACTTTGCTTTGAGCCCCTAATTTGAGGGATGACTTGGAGCACAAGATTTAGAAAATATATTGAATCCTAATCTAGAATTTGGGAGGAAAGAATTTAGTGGCTCCTCAAGGATATTATACCAAACAACTCCTCCTGTGTCTAAAATAAAAGGATCTTGTGCTTATTTTAAATTAGTATCATTGTAGCTGCAAGTTAGTTGTTCTCACTGTCACCTCACCTGCAGATTAAAGAGACTTAATATTTGAAATTTTCTTCTCTTGCAAATCCTAGTACTTTATGATTAAGCTTTTGTATAAGCTAAAGAGTTGGGTTTTTTTTAGTATCATAGCAAGGCAGATTTTCTTGGCTTTTCCAGTTTATTATTTGTGTTAAAATACAATTCCACTATTTTTGTGATAGGTTGATAAATGCTATATATAACTTTATTACTCATTCTTAATATTCCTTTGCTTCCACATCCAAGATTTGTACCATAAGCATGAATCTTTGAGTTGTTCATAACCACACTATAATGCCTCTATAATTTCACTTGAAAATATTTGTACTTAGATGCCTTTTTACTAATCTGTATTCAAATAAACAATCCAGCAAGATCCATTCTACCTGCCCTGCAAAAAAAAAAAACAGGCTCTGCTTCAGTAGTAATATCTCCCTACAAATCTTTATAGATGCATCTATGATATTAATGATTATTTTACTGTGAGGGTGGTGAGGCACTAGAACAGGCTGCCCAGAGAAGTTGTGGCTGCCCCATCCCTGGCAGTGCTCCAGGCCAGTTTGGACAGGGCTTGGAGCAACCTGGCATAATGGAAGGCGTCCCTGCCCATGACAGGGGTTTGGGACTAGATGATGTTTAAGGTCCCTTTCAACCCAAACCATTTTATGAGTCTATGATTTTATGTTTTCTTTACATAAGTTAATAAAGATTATGAATAGGTTGGGGATACAATGAGGATTCGGTTTAATTTTGCTAAACAGGTCTCACTTCAATGATGATTTTCAAGATAGAATTACTTTTCAGATCTGCTGGGTAATTTTTTTTTTATTCAGATAAATGTATGTTGCAAGTTTCATATAAAAATATTTTTAAAGAGAATATTTGCACTAAACAGAATATGGCATAATGTCTTAAATGAAGATCAATATTATACATTTACCTTTGCCAGGTGAAATGCTAATCCAATTAAACAACATCAAATTCCAACAATTCCAGGAAAACCTGCTGATACTAGAAACTCAGTAAATATTGAATTCCTATATGTGATTTTCATTTACTTTCATGATTTTTCCAAAGGTTCTTGTCATGTTATTTTAGCTCAAATAACCTTTTGGTTTTCATTTCTCATGGCACCAAATCAGTTTCTTGCTTTCATTTCTGGAACAAACATACACAGGTTGATTATTACCATGCATGACTCAGAATTGCGTAAAATTCCAGGACATTACTTAGTTGGTCCTGAAAGTTTAAATGTCTTTTACCTTTACCTGTTGGTATTTAGCACCCTTACTAAGTAATGATTGAATAAAACATTTGCAATTATACCCATGCAGCATTACTACATTATAGAATCATAGAATCGTTAGGGTTGGAAAGGACCTTAAGATCATCTAGTTCCAACCCCCCTGCTGTGGGCAGGGACACCTTACGCTAAATCATATCACCCAAGACCTCATACAACCTGGTCTTGAACACTGCCAGGGATGGAGCATTCACAGCCTCCCTGGGCAACCCATTCCAGTGCCTCACCACCCTAACAGGAAAGGATTTCCTTCTTATATCCAATCTAAACTTTCCCTGCTTAAGTTTATCCAGGTTTCTATTAAATAAATGCTTCTATACATCATCACTGTTACTGAAAAATGTATATGGGAAACCATGCCACTGTCAAATTGTTTTCTTCCTTGATCCTGACATTTAAAAAGAAAATGTATTGCCCTTGTCCTTTAGGCAATGAGCCAAGACTTTTCATTCATGTATTTAGCTATTATTATTCATTCTCATTGTTTGACAAGTGCTAGCTTACCATTTCTGCTTATCAGCTTCCACATTTTTCCTTTCATTTTACACAATATTAATTGTTGCTTTCATGTTCTTTCTTTAACTGAATGCATTCAGCTGAAGAGAAGCTTTGATGATCTTAAGGTCCTTTCCAACCCTAACTATTCTATGATTCTATGATTGTGGTAACATCATCTTATGGGCATCCTATACAGTCTTCCTAAATAAACTACCATTTACCTATTTGGTGTATTTTTCTTACACATACAGAGTTTTTCTTACACATTCAGAGTTTTTTCCAGGCTTGGAAAACTGTCCCTTTTCCAGCAAAGCTGCATAATATATATGGGAAGTATTTATACATAGTAAATACAGTTAAATTGTCCCATTTTACATTCAAGCAACTATAAAATCAGTAGACTAGACAATTATTATTTTTTTTGGCCAGAATTGTCAGAACTCAAAGCACCTGAATGCTCCAAAAATAACATGCGATTTTATTTTAGAAAACGCTAATCTATTATTTATATAAAATGTAGGACGTGTTTACTTGTGGACGTTTGACTCTAGACATATCCTACAGATTAAGAGAAAAAAATAAAATATGACCCTAAGTACCTCATTCTACTTACTCCAGCTACATATTTACATTGCTGTTCATCCAGCTCTGCGTTAGACAATCTGCCTCACCAGTATCTAATTTTCTGATTTATTAGCCTAAACATTGATTCATAAACACACCAGGTCTTGGATTTGTGAAATCAGGAACTCTAGTTACTTTAATGAGCCTGACCAACCCCTGTCCCTGCACATTCTTTCCCAAAGAAAGGTATAAACTAATAGGAACACTCAAATTGTGACAGATGTCTAAAAGAGCCATAGCTCAACATTTAAGTAAATGAAGCTTTGATACGGGTCTGCAAAGTACCCGTTGAAAGATCCTTCATCAAAAAAACCTCCCTCCCCATAAGCAACACATTTGTGCATTTGGACTTCTTATCCTCTGTCATTCTATAAGAATTGCCTTAATTATTTCAAATGTTATTAGTTACACACTTATCTGTGAAGCATCCAAAAAAGCAGGCCTTTTCTCTGGCAGGCGTTTTTTGAGTACACCACCTCAGATACAATCACTTTGTGACCTTTTCTCCACCTGAAAACCACCCCCGCCTTGTCCACAGCACTCAGCTGCTCCCTCCACTAGTGGTAAACTATATTCAGTGTAGGAAAGTGGTTTTGGTTTATACGAAGAGATGCTTAAGAAGGTAAAGGCATACAAGCCCTAACGCTCTCAAATGTTCTTAAGCATTTAAAGGATTTAATCACAGAATCACCTGGGTTGGAAAAGACCTTTAAATCATCAAGTCCAGCCATTCCCCAAGCACTGCCAAGTCCAGCACTAAACCACATCACTGAGGGCCTCATCTACACGGCTTTGAACACTTCCAGGGACAGCGATTCCACCAGTTCCCTGGGCGGCCTGTTCCAATGCCTGAGCACCCTGTCTGTGAAGAATTTTTTCCTAATATCCAGTCTAAACCTCCCGTGGTACAGCTTGAGGCCCTTTCCTCTTGTCTTGTTACTTGAGAGAAGAGACCAGCCACTTCCTTGCTCAATCCTGATTTCAGGTATTTGTAGTGAGAGATAAGGCTCCCCAAAGTAGCCATAAAGTGACTAATGCCTACGCACCTTCGGAGACGGGGATTACAACTAACCAGTCTCTCAGAGGAGATTCACAGCAATTAAAAAAGCTACAGCCAGGTCCACTTTGATGCAACTCTACCTAAACCCAGAAGCCGTTTGTGAGAAGAAAACCGCACAACAGGAAACCCTCTAAACTGAAGCCTCATTAGGATGTACGAGCAGCGCTACGGACACCGAACACACCAACTTTCCACCTTTCTAACTTTCCTACTACACCACGGCACACACAGACGCATGTACGAGTGTGTACGTACAGGTGCAGGTGCAAACACAAGCAGAAGCCGCCGGCACGGAGCCCGGGCAGACGGCACGGCCACCGCCGCTATTCCCGGCCCTCAAAGACAACGGTGGCCACTCCGGCAGCGCTGTGCCACCGACGCTGTTGCTCGGAGCCACGCTCACCGCCACACGCTGGGGTCCGGGGACAAGCACAGCCCCTCACCCCGGGACCCGGCGCCACCACCACCCAGCCACGACTGCCGCCACAGCTACTACCTCTCACCACAACCCGCCCGGCGGGGGGGGGGGGCCTGCCCGGCAAAGGCGGCAACTTCCGGCTCCAACCGACCCCGCCCCTCACCTTGGCCTGCGGGTCCGCGCTAAGCCAATGAGGGAGGGGAGCAGCAGCCGGGCAGGTAACCGGGGGCCCAATCAGAAAGGCGCCGTGGGAACAGGTGGGGGCGGGGCTCCGGGGTGCCGCGCGCGCGGCCCCGCCCCGCTCCGCCCCGCCCCTTTCGGCCCTCTCGCTGCCGCGCCAATCGCCCTCCGCGGCGGCGGCGGCTGCGGTGTGAGGGAGGAGGGGGGCGGTGCGCGCCGGCTCCTCCGGGGGAGGGGCTGCCCGGCGGGAGCGGCACCGGCTGCGGCGCCCGCCGGCGGGGCTCGCGCCCTTCCCGCCTCCCGCCGCCGCGTGAGGGGCCGGCCGTGCCGGGAGAGCAGCGGGCGGCCATGGCCCTGGTGGCACCGGAGACTCGGAAGTTCACGCGGGCCCTGAGCAAGCCCGGAACGGCGGCCGAGTTGCGGCAGAGCGTCTCCGAGGTGGTGCGCGGCTCCGTCCTGCTGGTGAGTGCTGCGGCGGATCGTGAGCGGCCCGGGAGAGGCTCCGTCCGCTTCTGCGGCCTCTTGAGGAGGGCTGGTTCTGGAGGAGGAGGCGGGCCCTTTGATCCCGCCCGGGTTGGGAGGGGGGGGATCTCGGCGACGGCTGCGGGGCGGGTGCGGTGCGGTGCCGGTGCAGCCGCAGGCGGGGTGGGGACGCGCCCAGCGGCAGCGGCGCAGAGAGCGCCATGGGACGCAGCGCCCCGCGGGCACGGTCGGGCGCTCCCGTCCTCCCGCTGCAAACTTGTGTCGGGCGGGAGGCGGTGCGGGGCGGGGGGGCGAGCGGATCTCGCCGGGAAGCGCCCGGCCCCCTCCCCTCGTCCTTCGATCAGGCGAGGGGCCTGCGTGCCTCCCGGCTCCTCCACCTGTAGAGCGGGTGCAGCTCTCGCCCCAGTGCAACTGAAGTGCTTCTGTGCGTGTGAAAACAGCGGTGCAGAAGTGATGTTTCATCTTACTACTGTCCCCACGCTTTACAGCTAAACCACGGGTGTTTTTTTTTGCTGCGTCCTACAGTATGAAAGATGAGTGCTGGCAAGTGTAATAGGGATGTTTGAAGGCTATTTGTCACTGTGCTAGCACATGGCAGTTGATCTTGCCAGTTCACAATCAGGCTTATTAATTTAATTGAAACTGATGAGAGTACATTTGTCTGAAGGTGTTAGACAGTGAATTGAGGCAACTGAGACAGAGGTATGGGTTTTGGCCTGGCTGTGCCCAGGTGATGACATCTTAAACAGCCTCAGCAAGATTCTTCAGAACTTCTCTCTTGGGGCTCTTAATTCATGGTGTGCGATTGTATTCCATGTGGTTTTGTTATCTCCAAGGGGAATGTTTTAGTAAGCGTTTAAACCCTGTGTAAGTAAAGACTTTCTGCTGCTGGAGTTCCTGATGTTGGAAGCTGATCTGTAATTTGTTTTTCACTCTTGCTGTTGCTAAGTATGGGCTTCTCTAACTTTTTTAAACTGCTTGTCAGAAGACTTGTTTGTCTTGTGGTAGTGATGTGTGTGAGAGTAACAAATGCTGTAGCTGTAATTCAGGGCATTTCTGTGTGTATTTAGTCTTCTGTTATATACATTTTGTGTCCCACAGTTCTTTAATAAAACAGTGGCTCTAATGTTAAATTATTCTCTAACTGTGGGATATGGGATATGGAATATACAATAGAAGACTTAATACCCATAGTTCAGGGTCCACCTGAATACTGACAGTTTTCCACAAGACACTAGTGCATATATGTGTAGTGAACATCCAATATATGTTAGCAGTATTCCAGGGATCAAGTGTTTCCTAGGAATATATATATATTTCATATTGAGGGAGCATTAAGGATACATAAAGGATTTATGTATTTTCGTGACATAAATAAGTGTTTCTTTTGCAGTAATTGGCAATTCTGTCCTCTCCCCTTCCACCCGTTAGATGTTTTTCTTCTTAGTTCACTTATGACTAATGTCATTGAGATGAGTTGGAACACATCTGATTCTTGAATTCATGCAGGTTGACCAGAGACACGATAGGATGGTATTCACTAAAAAATCCAGGTATTTTTGCAGAATTTAAAGGAAGTGAAAGAAGTGATGGTGTAAAGTAGTGTACTGTAGTTTGGTTCTGGATAAGGTCTTCCATCACTACTTCAGAAAGCAAAAACTGTGACTTACCATACGTAGTGACTTCAGGTTCATGGCAGGGTTGTGATCCTTCTCTGTTAGCTTGATGCATGGAGTAAAATCCTCATCTCTCTTCCATGCAGACTTGTGCTGAAG